ACAGAAAGCGCACAAAAAGTGTTATTAATAAGGTAAAAGTGGCCAAAAGATAAAAGGTGAAACATGAAAACGCTTAAAAGAGCTAATGAAAAAAATTCAACTAACTTGTAAATTCACAAAACAACCCACATTTATGTGTTGCTGAAATATGAAGAAATGTTGGAAAATAACACGTTACTTAATGTGTTTCTTTGCAAATCTAACAGAATCTTTTGCATCTCACAATTGCAAAATTTGATGAGCAAATTGATTTCACATTCAGTTTAGTGGCTCCACAAAATTCAAAAGTTATACATCAACATATTATAGTCTGTCAGAAACTATACCCAATGGTCAAAAGTTAAAGACCAACTAAAATAATGATTTTTTTTTTATTTTTTTTTTTTGTTTCAGTTTTTAGAATTTCTATTGAATTATAAAATTTTAAAATGAGATAATTGTGCAGATTCAATTCCATTTCCAAATTCCAATGATGATGTATTATAGTGCCACGCCTTCATAATTTTGCATATTATGTGTACGTAAGAATTTTAATTATCGAGTGAGTGTGTTTGACAATTTTTCACATTCAGTGCCATACTTAAAATGCAACACGAACTAAGTATTTTATAGTATAATTATATATATTTTTATTGTTTAAAAGTATAATAAGTCAATACACTAAGGACTGTTTGTTTCATGTAATGAGATTAGACTAAATTAATATTATGTATCCCTTGGATTCATATTTCCTTAAACCAACTGTGAGATCAATACACCGAGGAAGTGGCACGCCTAGGATGGAGACTGAGGAGAGTCCCCAGTTCTTAAATAAAACTTCTACAAAACCCTAAGTTAATTAACTTGCCTACAAAAACAAGGATTAGGGAAAATAAAAAAATATTATCTACCAAATTTAATAATGCAAATAATAGTAAGGATAATAAAAATAAGGCAAAAAATAATTAAACTAATGATGATAAACGATCATGTTTGTCTAAGAAGGTCAATGCAATCTCTGTATTCATCAAATATCCAAACAATTATTATTTTTCAATAATACGATTTACATATTATTTCCATTACACTCACGTTATAAATTTTGTAAATATTTATTGTTTCGTTTCATAATTAAATAAATGAAATGGAAATATTTTGTTGACCAATCATCTTGCAGAACACTTGAGTTTATGAGGAATGCATTGATTTACAAAAGCCATAGTTCACAAAAAGTAGGAATTAGGGAATAATTTGTGACACCTAAAGCTAATTTCACTTTTAGTTGTTTCATCGTCTCAATCTGTTCAACAATACCAATAGCTATTACTCTATTAGTCTTGTATGCTTAACCTTCTTCATTCCATTGTCTTAGTCCCAACTAGGGAA